TTGTTGAGTGTAGGTGATTCATATTTCAAGATGAGCATTAATCCATTATCTCATACCAGGTACATAACTCTTAAACCAGAGAATGATGTGAGACAATGAGTGTGTTCTGCTATGGCTCTGGGAGGTGGGCTGTAATAGAAAATCGGTGTCTCTTCCTTGTCATTTGTACCTAATTAATAATATTATATTCTCCTTCAGTGTCTTGGGATAAGCTCAATTCATTTGCTCCTTGGGGTTATGAGAGGGAAAATTTGTGGGTTTTTTTAGTACCGGGGATCAAACTCGGGACCTTGCGCTTGTGAGGCAGGCGGCCAAACCACTGGGCTAAATCCCGGCCCTGCCCTTAATTCCTATAGTAACCTCAGAAGGCTTTTCTGACTTCTCATAAATAGCCAGTACAGGAACAAATGCTAACTAAATGAAAGTAAAGTGGGAAGCAGAATAGTTAATAGAATATAAAGAATTAGATTATGAGAGACTCCTGTTCTATTGAGAATCACCAAGTCACAAGGCAAAAATCTAATGAGAACTGAGATCTGCCCTTCTCTCAAAGGGAACAGTACCACCCAAGCTCAACCTCCCATGGTATCCTCCTCAGGAGAGCTGCAACAGCCCAGTAACATCAAGGTCTATAAACAGCTGGCTCCCCAAATTCAGATTGCCTGGCATCAAGCAGCCTGAGAGTCTATCACTGACCAAGGTTCCTCTTACACTTACATCATAAGAGGAGAGAGTAAGGGCCCAAGGGATCCCTGCAATAGAACCCTGAGTCACTCTTCAGGTCCAGCAAGGGTTGCCTCTCCCCAGGATTCAAGTAGCTACTTACCAGCAGCAGCAACCAACAATGAGCCCACATTATGGCAACATTTCTCAAGACGACCAGCAAGCCATTTTGGCAGACTGGTTACTTTGGATCCTTCCACAGGGGATGTGTGACTCTGGGGCAGGAATTCATTCTTTCCAGAACTGATTCATACTCTTGATAAGAGTTTTCCTTGCCTAGCAGCAGTTCTCCCACCAGCACCATCATTCATTTACAGAATGGTCATCCATTGACATGGTATCTCATACAATGTTGCCTAAGACCAAGGTAGATGCACTTGACTATGAGATCCACAGCTCTCATCATATGCTTCAATAATTCAGAAGCAGGCAGCCTAATGAAATGGGCTATTAAAGCCTCAGCTAACATTTTAGCTTTTAGAACATACCCTGTGGAGTTGGGGTCACACTAGATGTGGGTTCCATGAACAGCATTCTTGTCACCATAAGTGAGCCCAAATGAGACCAGAAGGAGAACTGCCAGAGCCCACCCCAAGTTCCTGGTCCACTATATAATTAGCCAATAAAATGATTAAGACAATTATGTTTTGAAATGGTTTGTTACATGATGATAGGTTAATGATACAACAAATACATCTGAAGTGGTATATAAAATGTGTCTGATACAGGTAAAGAGAATACATACTAAATTCTATCACATTCTAGAGACAGCTTTTAGGCTTTTCTCCACAAGACACACCAAGAGGTGGCAAAACCAGTTCTATGACTCTCAAACACTTCCTTCGGACTAAATAAGACTACAAGGGAGATGCTTATTACTTATCATCTTTGAAGGAGTGTTACAGATTTTTTCCTAGTGGGTAAGGGGAAGCCAAGTTAGGGGGCCTTTGAGAGGTGACTTAGAATTGTTGTGAAGATGCATCACACCACCCCCAGCTGCTTGGTTATTGAACTGTAGCTTTCTGTAGCTCAAACCTGGAGAGAGAGTTTTAGGGAAAACCTGCCATGTTTCCTTGGAGGTTGAAGACCTGCTTCAATACAGACACTGCTTCTGGCCTCTTAGAATTCTGAAGGCAGGAAGCTTGCTGGAGTAGCAACAACAGGGCATCATGTTTGTTGTTCAGGATTGCAAGGGTATATGAGTTTCCCATGGATCCGATGAGTGTCACAGAAGGAAATAAACTTTGAACCCATTGCCTATGCCCTGCTTAAGGCCCTGCAAATGGATGAGGGGATCTTGGCAGTAAGAAGCTGTGGGTATTCCATAAGAGGCAGGGACCGAGAAGTTAGAGGAGATTGAGTGCATTTCTAAGAACTGTGCAATGAAGAGAGCAGAGAGCTATGAAGCATCATGCTCATCCATGAGAGAGCCAATATTTGGACACCAGTTACACACAAGACACCCAGAACTAAGAGAGGACTTATAACATCACTGGAAAGAAAGAGACCGGGGGTCGAGGAAAGAGCATCACTTGTGTTCTGGGATGGGCAACTGAATCTTCCCAGTGTGAGTGGAGAAGAAACCAAAAAATGAATGTAGAGAGAAAGACCGATTTTAGGCATCTGCCAGGTCCACTGGGGACAAAGCCATCTTATGAAAGTTTCGGTGACACCAGCTCCATTCCCGTCGTCTTCAACCTTGGAGAAAAAGCTACAGTTAGCAAGATGGAGATGAAGTAGATACTTGAAGGACAGAAAGAGAAGCCCCTCCACTTCCTTAATTCCAAGCTTCTCATTGGTTGCAGGACTCAACTTGGAGAGAGTACAAGACATAACTTTAAGTCGAACTCTTGAGTTTTGTGAGAGCAGAACTTTGTGTAGCAGAGCTGCTGTATTTGTCTGCCTTTGTTATGTAGTGAGCAAAAGTCTCAGCGCCATACTACAATAAACATTTATTTGTCACTCATAGATTTATAAATGGCTGGGGCTGTTCTACTTGGCATGAAACTGTGATCTTGAAGCAGGTTTTCTACAAATATTTCAGCATGGTGGTCTTTATTATACAAGGTGTGTGGCAGAAGCGAATGCTACCCCCAATCACATTCAACTTCCACAATTAGTGCCTCTTGATGCTGGAGCTGCTCTGTTTCAATATGTGGGTCAAATTCAGCTCTAATTCACATGTCTCATTGTCTTCCCCAGTCTGGAGAGAGACTGGAAGCTCTACAGGGAGAGGGGCACTTCCTTCCCATAGCATCAATTGGATCATTTGCAGTTTCCTCAAATTGCAAATCCAGTGTCCTGAGACCTCTTTAGATACCAGCACCAGTAGCTGCTCCTCTCCAAGCTCTGAGGTTTGCTTTCACAAGGCCTTCCTCTAATAGTCTAAAATTGTAATAATCCCAGCATTTTCTGTTCATCCCCCTTGCTCTAGACATCTTATTTGCTTCCTACAGTTGCCACCTCTGTGATACATTGTATTCTTCTCTGGCATTTTCAGTTGTCTAATAACTCTTTATATTAAATTCTTCCTGTTAAAATGATCAGGGTGGTTTGTTTGTTGACATATTGACCGATTCACTGGACTACATCAGATGCCTTTGAAACGCCTCCCAAGAATTTCCTCTTTAATTTGCAGAGATGTGAAACAGTTTTGTGTGTGTGTGTGTGTGTGTGTGTGTGTGTGTGTGTGTCAGGGATGGGGGGGCCTGTTTTTAAAATGGCTTTATGCGTTTTCGTTAACACAGTTTGATGTATAATAAAACTATGAAGAAATATAGTCGTTTTAAATTTAAAAAGAATTTCCTCTTTGCTGGGGATATAGCTCAGTGGTAGAGCACTTGCCTAGCATGCACGAGGTCTTGGGTTCAATCATTAGCACAATGAAATAAAATTTCCACTTTGAGGTATTTTCATGATATCCTCTCTTCTCTGTACTCATTTCTATCAGAACTTACTATGATACACTGTCAATGTTTTTTTTCTCATCCATTTCCAACCCAGAGTAATAGCTCTCTGAGGTCAGAGCATATCTGTTTCCTCAGTACCTGGCACATAAATTCTGTTTGAATAAATAAATGAGGAAAAATAAATCAGAAAACGGAATTATTAGCATGAGATTTAGCACCAAAATGAAAGAAAAAGTTAGATGGTGATGTGAGAAACAAGGAGGGCTGTTACTGCCAGCTGTGAGTCCATCTCTAAATGCACGGGAATCTTTGGATAAATGACGTGAACCAACTAAAGGATGAAGAAAGGGCGTCAGAGACTGCAATAATACTGTCACAAGGCGGACTGGGAGGAGCCAAGGGTTGGAAGATTCCCAGCAATGCAAAAGTGAGTTGACTGTTCGAGCTTCTGAGGAATGACCAACTCTTAAGGGACGCCTCTCACTTTGGCACCTGGTCCTGCCAAGCCCTTTACCAGTTTCACTCCCGGTTCCTCCACGCGACTTTAGAGGAAACAGGTAAAACCCGGAGAACAGGGTCCCACCTTAAGGGCCGTTCTGAGCATGCGTATTCCTGGCACTCTTGCGCAGGCGCAGTAACTTTGTTCTCGTAGCTAGTACTGCCCATTTCCGATATGGGGGAGCGTTTGCTCGGGCTAATTTATCACCTTTCTTGTGGTCCCCCGCCCTCCGGTTCCTGTGAGAGAAGCCTCGCGAGATTGCCTAAGGCAGTCCCCAGTGACGCCATCTTTGTCCCTGGCGATCTACGGCGCCCGACGGAAGTCCTAAAGCCGGCGGCAGCCCTAAAACCGGCAGCTAGCTTGCCAAACTCCCCTAGACCGGATCCAGGAACTACGAGGCGGGCCTCGGTGGGAGGGACGCGCAGAGAGAAGAGGGAGGGAAGGGGGCGGCGGCGGCGGCTCTCACCGGATCTGGGCTCCGCGCGGCGCGAACCCGAGGGGGGTCGGGCGGGGAAGCTGCGCCGGCCCGGACCCCCCCGCGGGAGAAGACGACTGGCGTGAGGGCGAGACGAGGCGGCGGCAGCGGACTGGGAGCAGCGTCTACCGGGTGTGTCTGCGAGTAGGGAGGCCTGGCACCTGCCCGAGCCTGGGCGTCGTGGGTATCCCAGGTTCGTTCTGGTGACCCCACGTCCGGGTCGGTGTTTGTGTGCGCTTCTGCTGGTGTCCTGGGGACTCGGCTCGGCCCGGAGCCGGGGTGACCACCGGGAAGTGCGGGGCTGCTTGGCGGAGGTTTGCGCAGGGCCTGGCGCGCCCGCGCCCGCCCGGGACGCCCTGAGAGGCGGAGGGGAGAGGGAGTGGCTGGGGTGCGGATTTGTTGCTTGCTTGGCCTTCGCCCCTCGAGTGGAGGGGATGGTGCCTTTCCTCGCCTCTTCCTGGACATTGCGTGGAGTGAACCTTTCTGGACCGGCTTCACGCCCCGGCAAGGTGTTTGGAAATGAGAACTGTCAGCACTAAGGTTGAGTCGGTGGAGGATCTTGAGACAGCGGGGAAGGTTAGTAGTGATAGTAATTGTTGTAGAAGTGGTTTGCAAATAATTGTTGGCAGGTGTTGAGTAAGGAGAAAATATTGTCTGTGTTCCTTTAAAGATCACAGAAACAGTCCTCCGAGGCCCGAGAACGGATTAGAGTTATTCTCATTTGGAGCTGTATGGTTCAGCACCTTGTGCCTTCCCCTAAAGTACATAAAAGCAGAATGGGGGTGGTGGTGATGAATTGGGAGCAAGGTGAGGTATAAAGTAAACTAGCTGCCTGTAAAAATCAGAAGTTCGTATTATTGCTATGTTAAAATATAAAGCATTTTCTGTCTTTACTGAAACATAGCTTACTGAAATTCTTTAAGAAAATTTGCTGATTTTGGTCCAGACTGGGCTTTCCAGTTCAGTGTGTTCCTCAGTGATGTTTATATATCAGACAGTAATTTTAGCATGTATTTGCTTATGGTTCCTAAAGAGCAGATTGACAAATTGACCTTGCTTTGCACACTTTTTCGTTTTGGAAGGATAGGAGACTTTACTTTCTTTGCTTTAGAAACGATTTACAGTAGTATACAAAAACATTGTGAGAAAAATATATTTTGATCAAGAAAGGGCTTTTGAGATGAGAGTTTAATTTTGCACAGTGTTAAATTATGAAAGGCCATCGTCATCCATGGCGTTTGTGATGATGTCTTTTTATGAACACTGGAATAATGCAAGCATATACATGTACATAGTTTTACGTTAGTCTATGATATGGTTTTTACAACTTTAGGCATCTCCTCTCTCCCTGGCCCTCCAACTGGCTTTTCAGTCAAGGGAAAGTTAGACTTCAGTGAAGGTAAATGCTAAGTACCCTATGTGATGTCCATCTTTACATGTGACAGTCTATAATATATGTTCAATCACCCTGAATTTTCTTCCTTCTGTTTATTTGACACATTCTTCTCCTTAATTACAGGGCACACTGTAGGGTTTGTGTTGGCGCTATCATTGGGTATATTTAGGCCCTGGACTTGGTGGGTAAGGTGCATTTGCATTTAATCCTTACAGCTACCATGTGCTAAAGATAATTGTTATCTCTGTTGCACAGATAAAGACATTGTTAACCTCCCGTATTATGCTGTAACTTACACAGCCTATTAAGTTGTAGATATAGACCTCAAACTCCTATGTCTGATCCTAGAGCATGTGTTCTTTCTACCGTACTTTGCATAAGTTTATGTGCTGACTGTTATAAATTTTATGAAAATGAAATTTTTGTTACAAAGAAACCTTTTAGTTCTGTTGGTAATCTTGAGAGCTTTCAGTGTCCTTGACTCAGGATAATCACAAATTTTTTTCTTTTTGTATGTGTCCATTTTCCAGCCAGGGATAACATTTGAGCAGAATTCTGCTGATTTGTAAAGATTCCTGAGAGCCAATAGTGACTTCTCTGAAATTCAGACGTTTTCAGTAACTTTGCCTCCTGTTTCAGCATGCCCAAGACACTTGAAAAACAAATATTTTGTTTATTCTGATCCTGAATACTAATTCAAATGACATTACTAAAATAAAGTAGCAACTATGTGTAGGAGTTTGAATTAGCTTTACGGGAGCTTGGAGGTATGCACACACAAACCTCTACCTTCTCTAGCAAATGGGGTACTTGACAGCTGATTCTATTTTTCTTCTTAATGTAGCGGTTTTGAATTCAAGACGTGGTTTGTAGAAAATATGGCAGCTATTATGAGAACCAGCATAATCCCTTATGGGGCTAATGATTAAAAAACCTTCGAAATGGAATCCCAAGCAGGATCTGAGATGTTAGTGGAACAGCAGGAACATTTTGCAGGTTGTCACTTTTGTCTCCCATTGGTCTCTGCTGTGCTGTCACAAGCTCTTAGGTACTGTTGAACCTGCCTTCTTGGCTCTTACCTCTCTGCTCAAGAGAGAGGGCCCCATCTGGGTAGAGAGAGAGAGTTCATCTGGAAGAACAGCTGTAGAAATCGGGGGAAAAAGATACTAGTGGCGTTCATCTGCTAGCCAGGTCATTTAGTTAGGTTTACTTGTGTGATTGTCTCTGGCTGGAAATTTTAGAAAAGCTGTTATGCACTTTGAGATTCGCTGCTCGATCTTTTAAGAAGTAAATTGTTTGGGGGCCTTTAGAGAAGTATCCCTGTCTCATGGAAATGGGAAAAGAAAAAAAAAGGCTTGCATTTCTCAGTATGTGGTCAGCATGCATGTGTGTTAAATGGAGTGTGGGACTGTGGTTTAAATAATGCCTTGGAGTCTTGACAGGTAATCTTTGGTCTGAATGAGCAAGTTTTTAATTATAGTTATACTCCCAATAAAGAGTTAAATGTACTTTTTTTACTTGTGAAAGTAATTACTCATGGTATTTGTGCTATTAGGGTTAGAAGAAAAACCTGACAAATGATAATGTTACTGAATCCTTAACGAGTAAATAAAAAACCTTTCTGAAATGATTTATATTGTCACTATATACAGAAAAGACATCAGGAAATTGCCTTGTATTTATTAAGATCGTTATTTTCATACCTTCTGCATAATAAATCTCAATTTATTGCCATGGCCACAAATATTTGTCTAAAAATGGAGTGGACCTGACGAAATATTTGAAACTCTCCAACTGAATCCTAAATATTAAAGAACTTTTATTAGCGTTTAATTCATTGACAGCTCTGTTAATTTTTTTTGTCCAGCTCTCCAGCATCCTACTTCCTTCCCTGCTTAAAATTTCTCACTTTATTTTCCTCCCTTTCTTTCTGACGCAGGTACCTGGATCCTCCCCTTAGTTCTCATTTGACACTGAAGTTTTTGACAGGGATAGATGCTGGCAGAGAGGGCACCAAAACTTCTCTAAGTCCATTCCCTTTCTCCAGATTTCTGTGCAGCAAGAGTTCAAGAGGGGTGTGAATATGATCACTTAACCCACCCCACCCTTTATTGAAAAAGAGAATGAGAATTACCAGAGTGAAGGAGGCACTGTCCAGACATCTGCCATGGTTTTTCTTCTTCCCTCTCCTTAAGCATTAATAAGAAAAGTTTGTAAAAGCCCTTGTGCTGTCAGAGCAGGCACTGTTCCCTCTTCTTCTTCCTCACCCCACTCCACTGACATACTTTTTCCTTTCAACTGCCATCCCACCCTTCTTTTCTTCCAAGTAGGTTTTGCCTTCCTCTTCCCCGTCGCCTCCCACCCCCATCTCTGCCTTTTTGACCTGGTTTTATGCTTTTCCTCCTGCTCTGCCTTGATGGGGGAGGTTGAAGCTGTGGTCCTAGGGAAGCTCACACCCCCAGATAGAGAAGAGAAGATTTTTTCCATTTCCAGGACTCAATGGGGTAGGGATGGATAGTTACTTCCTAAGATGGCATGCTAAATGGGTTTTCCCATAGAAACATTGCCTGCAAGGGTTTGTGTTTTGTTAATACTTCTGTAACCTTATGGATGTTCAGGCTTTTGTGGGCTGGATTGGAAATCTAGTACACTGATTATTGTTTCTGTGAAAGCCAGGACCTGAAGTTTATGGGTGATTTTAAAAACCAGCTTGTGTTCCAGAAGTTGTTAGAGGTCGCTTCCTTTTTTAAAAAAAATTAGTGAGATGGTAGGTAGCTCATCGTTAGCTGTTTGAAATTAAGTTGTTATGTGGATCAAATGGCTTGCCTGGGAAATAAACTGACAGGCTCTTTTTTTTTTGGTACTAGGGATCGAACTCTGGACCTTGTGCTTGCGAGGCAGGAGGCAGGTGGCGGAACTACTGAGCTGAATCCCCGGCCCAGGCTTTTTACATGATCAATGAAGAATTTCCATATTTAGGCATATGTTTTGAAGTGCAATTTAAGTTCAGCCCATTTCAGCTTAATGTTCGTTGTTAATGCAGATCTTAGTGTTGTTGAAAGAACAGAGTTTTAGCTTATAAAAAGAATATCTTGTTCCCACAATTTCTTGCTGATGTTTTGAAACTTTTCAAAGGTATTGGACCTTTTGCAGTTATTTTATCCTAATTTACTTAGTGGTAAATATGGACAGTATGTTTGTTTTACCTGAATATTTGAACATAAAGTTATGAATTTGTTGACTGTCACCCCTGTGGTGTTAATACAATTAAGTGAAAGATTTAAAAGTGACAAAAACAAAGCCAAATTTATTTTAAATTTGTTCTCCATAAATGTGCTTAATCTTAGCTTGGTTGAAGGAAATATTCCTAATAAAAGGCAAGGTGGATAGTTTTTTCTTCTAACCGCTGTTTGTTTGAAAAATGCATTTGAGTAAGCACCCTCTGTTCATTGTAAGAGTTTACCGAATTCTTTACATACAGTATGGTGATTAAAAATGAGACATCTAAGGATAAAATGCTCAAATGTTCCAATCTTCTGACATTAACTAGCTGTCTGTTCTTGGGCAAATTGCTTAATCTCTGACCTGCTTCCTCGTTTTTTGAAATAGGGATAATGTAGTATCTACCTCATGTGAGCATTGAGTGAGCTAGAGGATGGATTGTATTTAAAATATGCCTAGCAATGGTAAATGCCTCAAAAGAGTTGTTATTATTACATTGCCATTGTCATTACCACTGTTACTACTTTAGTTACCTTGTGAGATGATACCCTTCTTTCCTGGTGGTTGTTTCCAGCTTGGTAGTAATTTCTTTCCTTTTTTTATTTTGTTTTTTGAGACAGAGTCTCCCTATTTAGTTCAGGCTGGCTTTGAATTCGCTTGTAGCCCAGGCTGGCCTCTAACTTGTGATTCTCCTGCTTCAGTGTTGAATTACAGGCATGTGCCACCATGCCCAGTTCTTGCTAGTAATTTTTTAAAGCAAAGCTTATTGAGGTGGCCAAGGAGAATAGTATATTAACTGCTAGATATATCCGCAGTTGGCCATGGTGAAATAAGTCTGTAGAATATTAAGCTAATTTATTAAGGTAGCACTATTCCTATCATGTTAGGTATAAAGAACTATATCTCTTTGATGTGAGCAAAACTGAGTTGAGTAACTGTGCCTCTATTAAAATTTAATGGTCTTGGCATTAGGCTAGAGTCTGTGTAGAGGGAGCCTCAGTTTCTAAATACTAGTCTATAAAGATTTTAAATTCTCTTTTATAATCATTTTCCTGCAGTGAAAATTTTGCATATGGTTTTCCCAGGCCAACCCAACATATCTGAATTTGAATACTGATAGTACTATAAAAATGAACTTCTATGTATAACAGTGTCTCAGCAAGAATGCGCACTGAGTGCATCAAGTCCTAAAAGATGATTGCAGTCTTGCAGATGAATTTTCTGCATAGTCTTGGCAGGGATTCCCATATCTTAGGAAGGAAGAAAGTTTTCTTGTCTGGGGAGGCTGAGAATATTGGGGGCTAGTCTCTAAGAGGCAGGCATTTTTTTCCTGCCTTAGGTTCTCAAAGAGCTATCCTGTAGAGTACAGTGGTTAAGAGATGGACTGTGTGCCCAGAGTGCTTGCCTTCAAATCTCTGTTCCATTTCCAACAGAACTTCTCATCTGTAAAATGTAGGTAAAAGTCTTGCTTTCCCTACAGGTTTCCTAGGAGGATTAAAAGTGTGAATATGTATGAAGCACTTAAAACAGCCCCTGGCCCATAGGTGAGTGCATAAGAAATGTTATATATTTATTTTTATTAAGCTTCACAGTTTTAGAACCCCTGGAACACTCTTTTCTACTTGGTTGTCCACTGCCTACACCTGTTGTACTTAAATGGGATTCTTCTTTTCACTTTCCACTAAGGAATTGGTTCAGATTTTTTCTTACCATTCCTTCCTTTCTTTGCTTTTCTTTTCTGGTTTTTTTTTTTTTGAGGCTCTTTTGGGGCTGATTTCGTTTTATAATATTGGAAAAAAAGGTAGCATTTCAAGAGTCTTTTCTGTGAACCTGCGTCACCTGCAATCTGGGCCTTGTGTGGACAGAGATAAATTACTTGAATATAGATACTGACTGGATATTTAATTGGGTCCAAATGTGTTTGGCAGTTTTTGCTAAGTCATTTCTTTTTAAGTAAGCTTTACTTTGAAATGATTTAGAATTAATGATTCTGGTATGTTATTGTTACCTGAACTGCACATTTTATTCAGTATTTTCACTGCCTTAGTTACTTTTCTCATTGCTGAGACAAAATACCTGACACCCAAAGTTAAAGGAGGAAAGGTATATTTAGCTCAAAGTTTGCAGAGGGTTCAGTTCATAGTTGGCTGGCTCCGAGATAGCATGGCCATCACAGAGGAGAAACAGTTCATGGCAGGCAGACGGCAGCACAGTGGTGAAAAAGCAAAGCAGCAAGTGATGACAGCACCCCTCTGTCCCTTATATTCTCTCCAGGCTACCCACCCTTAGGACAGGTAGCACTCACATTCAGGGAGGGCCTTCCCATTATCCACTCCCAGAACTATGTCAAACCAATCAGTGGACCAGTTTAGTAATCACACACCCTTGATCCCAGCATCACACACTTAATCCCAGCATTACACACTCTAGATCCAGCCACCTTTGAAAAGCCCCACCTATGACTGCATGAGGCTTTGGGAGGGCATCTAGATATAACCCATAACAATCACTATCCTGCTAATGTATTTTTTCTGTCCCAGGCTGTCATGTTACATTTAGTCACCAAGTATTTCTCTTTATTTCTGTTTATATTATTGTGATCTCCAGTTCTTTGGTGAATACATTTCTGTGGCTATATATTTGTTTTCTGATTTACTTTTCAGTTTTCTGTAGGTCCTTGAAAGCCAGATGTTTCCTTTGGGGGTGGCAAGGGCAGGCACTCATCTTGGCATTGAACTTTATAGTTTGAAATAAAAAGAGACTCCTAGGATAGTGGAAAAAATCTTATGGTTTTGAGGTTGAGACTAAAACATTTCTCTAATTTAAAATCTTTTCACAGGACTAAATGGGTTATTTTATGTACTATTCACTGTTGAGGGATTTAACTTCAAAATGAAAAGTCATTCTTTTGATATGTTAAACATAATTCTTTGGATATAGAAATGATTTAGTATTAATTGGAGAGAGGTTTTTAGGTCTCAAAATTGATTTACTAAGAAACTAGTATTAAGTTAGTATAATAATTGAATGTCAGTAATTTAGTACATTTGTTTATATGAGCTTCAAAATAAAACCTTGGTTCCATATTGTGGCTCTGATGGATTTTTAAAAGTCATTTTCTGGGATACCATATGGAGTGGGTGCATTGTTATTCTAAATTATCACACATCCCTTAAATTGGATGTCAAAGTCTTCATTTAGTGTAAACAGAATGTTATCTGTTAGGCTGCACATCATGAAATTTACTTTTAGAGAGTCTTATCTTTTCTGCCACAGAAATAACTTTTGGCTATTAGTCATGGATGGCAAAGATATTAATTTAGAGTTGTTTGGTTGAAAATATTTCGGTTGAACGTGGTGTGCATTGAGGGACACTGCCAATAAACAAACTCTCCTGGTGGTTGGAAATCCCCTGGAACTTAGAAAATTGGAAGGGGGTGAACCTAATTAAATAACTTTGTTTATACTTATTTAGAGCTTTTTATGACTTTGGACAAATCATCCAACTTCAAAGGAACTTGGTTTCTTTATTTGTAAAATTGGAGGGTTTGACTAGATGTGTCAATCTCTTCATTAGTTAATTTCTAAGATTTAAAAGCTGCCTCGTTTAACAAAAACTTGTAAGATCAAGTTGCTTGTCTTAGAGCTTTATGAATCAACACTTGTCACTAAATCTAGATGTGTCAATTTCTCCTATTGAATTCAAATAATTTCAGACCACTGTTACTTCAAGTTTGAGAGTCATTACTTGGTTTGGCATCTCCATGAATATTTTTTGGTAATTAGCCTATCGCTTTTTAAAATAGTTACTTGATTTTTGTGCATTGATCTGAAGCAATGCACTTCAGACATTTTGCTCTCATATTACCTAAACAATTTTGAAAAATGCACTCCTCCACACTTAAAAAAAACCAAAAAGCCTTTTACTGAGCTTTAACATAAAATACACATTATTAGTAGTGAACAATCTGGTGAATTTTCACCAACTGAGCATATGTGTGTACCAGCAACTATTTCAAGAAACTGAATATCATCAGCACCTGAGAAGTCCTGTTCACCACCCTGTCACACAGCCATTTTTCTTTAACACCGCAGATTAGTTATGCTTCCTTTTGTACTTTATGTAAATGGAATCCTACTCAGCTCTTTTATGTCTTTTGGGTCTGACTTCTGTGCAAAATAGTGAATGAGATCTATCTGTTAAGTGTGTAGTTGTAGATTATTCATTCTCATTACTGTACATCATTACATGAATGTATCACTATTCACACACACACACACAGTTGATGGATATGGTTGAAGTAGCTCTCAGTTTTTGGAGAATGTCTTTGTGACCGTGGAATAAAGATTTCTTAAACAAGACTTACCAATGATAATTATTTGTCTTAGTGTTCAAATTGGAAGAGTGGGAGAACCGGTTTATTGAAATATGAGCATTCAGAAAGTTTTAAACTATATTAACATATAACTATTATATATAGTTATATATTAATATATAACTATATATATTAATATGTAACTATATATTAGTATATATAGTTAAAAACTTTTACTCTGTAAATCTCAGGGAGAGTCAGTATTTGTAGTTAAATCTTCCAGGTAGATGTTTGTGCTCTCATAACTATTTTGGGTAGAATTCCTTCAAAAATGTGCCATGTACTTCCTTGCCTCTTTTGACTTGCTGATTTGTAAGAGTTCTTTATTATATGCTGGAAATGAGCCTTTACACGTTGCAAACACATTCTCTCCTTGTGTGGCATGCTGTTTAATTTTTAATGTGTCTTTTTATAAACTACAAAAATGTAGTCAGTATTTTCTTGTATGTTTTAACTAGATAATCAGGTTCAGTTTAAAATAGCCTTTCTTATCCCATGGTCTTGAGGATATTTTATCTCATCTTCCAGAAGCCTGAAATTGATTTTTTTTGTCTGTAACTAGCGAGGTAGGGGACAACATTACTTTGTTTTCCTTGTATTTTTTTTGTAAACGGATAATGTAATTGTCCCAGCATACTGTCCTTTTCTTACTATTGTGAAGAATCAAATGTCCCTATCTGTTTCTGTTCTCTCTGTTCTGTTCCAGTGGTCTGTCCTCGTTCTGATACCATGTTGTCTTGTTTATTAATAGCTTTATTATAAGGCTTGATAGTAGAACAAGTTCTTCCACCACCTCCTTTGAGAACACCGTGGCTATCCTTGGCCCTTTGCATATTTATATGAATTTTAGTATCATCTTTTCATTTTCCACACACAAACACATAAAAATCCGTTGTTTGAAATTGAGTGGGATCTATAGAGCAGTTTGGGGAGAATTAGCATGTGAATATGATACACTACTGCATTTATTTAGGCCCTCATTAATTTTTCTTACTGTTTATAAATTTCTTCAGAGAGCCACTTATAACTTTTGAGTTTTATTCCTAGATATTTGATGTTTTTTGACGTTAAAAAAAACTTACAGACTTTTTTGTTTACTTCTGTTTTTATGTTGACCTTGTATATAGCATTCATGCTAAACTTCTGTTACTTTTGCTAGTTATCTTTAGACTATATATTCCATCTTATCTGCAAATGAAGAAAATTTAGTTAGTTTTTTTTGAGACAGGGTCTCACTGTGTATTTCAGACTGGTCTTGAACTCACTATGTAGCCCAGACTGGCCTTGAATTCATGGTGATCCTCCTGCCTCAGCCTCCTGAGTGCTGGGATTACAGGCATGTGTCACCACACACCCAGCTTCAAGAAAATTTGTTTCTTCCCTCCAAATCATTAATACTTTGTGTGTGTGTGTCTGGGGGGTTATTGGGGATTTGGACCCAGGGCCTCACACTGAGCTACCTCCCCAGCCCTTTTTGATTTTTTATTTTTGAGACAGGGTTTCACAAAGTCTCTAAATTGCCAGGATAGGCTCAAACTTGGAATCCTCCTGCCTCAGCCTCCCAGAGTGCTTGGATTATGGTCACGTACCACACAACCAGCCCAAATGCTTATACTTTTATTTGATTCTTTTCTTACTGCACTGTCTAGTACTTTTATTATAACATTGAATAGAAGTAGTATTAGAGGGCATCATTCTTGTTCCCTTCCTGAGAGGAAAACTTCCAACATTTCTCCACAAAATAATATGTTTGTTTTAATGTTTTCCTAGATATTACAAGATTAAGGAAGTTTTATTCTGTTCTTACTTTGCTAAGAACATAGCATAAATGGATATTGAATTTTATAATATGCCTTTCCTAATGTTAAAATAATCATGTGATTTTGTTCCTCATCAAATTATATCGATTTCCTGTTGCTAAATCAATTTTACATTCTTTTATTTTACTTTGGAACTTTAGATCTCTTTCACTAGTGAGATTGGCCTCTTTTTTCGTCTGACTTTGTCAAGTTTTTTGTTTGTTTCTTTTTTGCTTTTTGTTTTTTTCCCTTCAAGATGGTCTCACTGTGTGGTTCAGGCTGGCCTTGAACTCACTGTGTAGCCCAGGCTGGCCTTGAACTCACTGTGTAGCCCAGGCTGGCCTAGAACTCAGGGCAGTCCTCCTGCCT